TATGATACCCACAAGATCCCTGATCTTGACACAATATGATACCCACAAGATCCCTGATCTTGACACCACAAGATCCCTGACCTTGACACGATATGGTACCCACAAGGTCCCTGATCTTGACACAATATGATACCCACAAGATCCCTGATCTTGACACCACAAGATCCCTGACCTTGACACGATATGGTACCCACAAGATCCCTGATCTTGACACAATATGATACCCACAAGATCCCTGATCTTGACACAATATGATACCCACAAGATCCCTGATCTTGACACCACAAGATCCCTGACCTTGACACGATATGGTACCAACAAGATCCCTGATCTTGAAACAATATGATACCGACAAGATCCCCGATCTTGCCACTACAAGATCCCAGACCTTGACACGATATGGTACCCACAAGATCCCTGATCTTGACACAATATGATACCCACAAGATCCCTGATCTTGAGACCAGAAGATCCCTGACCTTAACAAAATATGGTACCCATAACCCTGATCTTGACACAATATGATACCCACAAGATCCCTCATCTTGACACAATATGATACCCACAAGATCCCTGATCTTGTCACAGTGTAACAGCCAAAAATGCAGAAACAAAAAAGAATATTAAAAACAGTTGGAATAAAGAAAATAAAAAGCTGAACTAATAATGTTGTAGTTGAACTGTTTAACTAGAACAGTCGACAGCAATCCTAAACAAATGTGTTTTTAGTCTTGATTTAAAGGAATTTAGGCTTTCCACACTTTTACAGTTTTCTGGAAGTTTGTTCCAGATAAGTGGAGTATAGGAACTAAATGCTGCTTCTCCATGTTTAGTTCTGGTTCTAGGTATGTAGAGCAGGCTGGAGCCAGAAGACCTGAGTGGTCTGGAGGGTTGATACACTGATAGCAAGTCTGTGATGTATTTAGGTGCTACGCCATTCAGAGATTTATAGACTAACAGAAGTATTTAAAGTCTATTCTCTGAGATACAGGGAGCCAGTGTAAGGATTTTAGAACTGGGGTGATGTGCTCTACTTTCTTAGTCTTAGTGAGGACACGGGCAGCAGCGTTCTGGATCAGCTGCAGCTGTCTGATCCACTTTTTAGGCAGACCTGTGAAAACATTATTGCAGTAATCAATTAGACTAAAAATAAACACATGGATTAGTTTTTCCAGATCATGCTGAGACATTAGTCCTTTAATTCTGGAAATGTTCTTCAGATGATAGAAACCCAACCTTGTAATTGTCTTTAAATGCTCCTGGAGGTTCAAGTCTGAATCCAGCACTACACCTAGATTTCAGGCCTGATCAGTGGTTACTAGCTGAAGCGACTGAAGCTGTGTCCTAACTTTAGATCTCTCCTCACCCTATCCAGGCATTGATTTCTTCTAAGCTTTTCCTCAGTGCTTGAATTGGTTCATAGTCACCTGGTGACATGGTGATGTAAAGCTGTGTGTTGTCTGCATAATTATGGTAGCTGATGTTGTTTTTTATTAACTGAGCAAGAGGGAGCATGTAGATATTGAATAGGAGGGGACCCAGGATGGACCCTTGGGGAACCCCACATGTGATTTTTGTCATCTCTGATGTAAAGTTGCCTACTGATTACAAAAAACTCCCTGTCCTTTAAGTAGGATTTAAACCAGTTGAGAGCTGTACCAGAGAGGCCGACCCAGTTTTCCAGGCGCTCTAACAGGATGGAGTGATCGACAGTATCGAATGATGCACTAAAGTCCAATAGTACCAGCACTGTCGTTCTTCCGCAGTCTGTATTTTAACGAATGTCATTAAACACCTTGATAAGGGCGGTCTCTGTACTGTGGCGAGCACGGAAACCTGACTGGAACACGTCAAAGCGGCTGGTCATACTTAACAAAGTGTTTAATTGTTGAAACACAGCTTTTTCAATAATCTTACTGATAAAGGGGAGGTTTGATATGGGCCTGTAGTTCTGGAGTAGTAGTTTGTCTAAATTGTTCTTTTTCAGCGGGGGTTTGATATTTGCTGTTTTTAGGGACTGTGGGAAAACACCTGACAGGAGGGACATGTTTATTATCTGAGTCAAATCAGACGCTATGACAGGCAAAACTTTCTTAAAGAAAGCTGTGGGTAGAGCATCAAGGCAGCAGGAGGAGGAACTTAGCTGCTGAATGATTTCCTCTAAGCTTTTGTAGTTTATTTGGCTGAATTGGGACATTTGGTCAAGATCAATTCCAGTTGGAGACAACTTTGGTACTGAACTTGATATGGATGTATAAACTGATCCTTTGATCTTTAGGATTTTCTCAGTAAAGAAATTAGCAAATTCATTGCAGGCCCTGGTAGAGTGGAGTTCAGGAGCCACGGGCAGAGGAGGATTTGTTAACTTATCAATTGTGACAAATAACGCACGAGTATTTTTAATGTTCTTGTTAATGATTTCAGAGAAGAAAGATTCTCTTGCATTTTTCAGTTGAAAGCTATATCTGTAAAAGTCTCTCTTTATAAATGTCATAGTGAACCTGGAGTTTCATCTTTCTCCACCTGTGTTCAGCTATTCGACACTCCATTTTTTTCACTTCTAACTGCTGGAGCACTTCTCCAAGGAGATTTTTTCTTTTCCGGAAAAGTCTTTCACTTTAATTGGAGCAGTGCAGCTAATGATGTCTGAGACTTTAGACTGAAAGTTATCTACTAGCTCATCTACTGAGTTGCACCCCAAGGTTGAAGTAGCAGAGTAAGCTTGAGTAAAAGTTTCTGTGGCATTTTCCTTAAAGGTGCGTTTTCTTATGATATCTCTTTGGCTAAATGAGTCAATGGAAATGATGCCCTCAAAGGTAACAGAAAAGTGATCGGATAGGGCAACATCAGTAACTCTGACTTTAGAAATCTACAGACCTTTATTGATGATCAAGTCTAAAATATGTCCCTGTTTGTGCGTTGGTTGTTTGACAAGTTGAGTTAAACCAAAGTTTCTAAGTGTGTCACACAGTTCTTTTGCATGTCTGTCTTCAGGGATGTCAATGATGTCAACAATAATTAAACAGTCATAATCAACGCATATCACAGACAGGAGGTCACTGAAATCATTAATGTGGACTTAGGAGGCCTGTAAACATTTAGAAACATAGTTCGTACCTGTCGTCAGTAGGGCAACAGTGGCATTGGGTGCAGGACTTTGCCCTGCAATAGTAGGGTTGTCGGTTCCAGCCCCAGTGTCATTGTGTCCTTGGGCAAGACACTTGACCTACATTGTCTACTGATGGTGGTCAGAGAGAACGGTGGTGCCAGTGTACCGCAGCCTCGCTTCTGTCAGTGAGCCCCAGGGTAGCTGTGGCTACGGGTGGGCCAGCTTGCCACCATCAGTGTGTGCATGAAAACGTGAATGTAGTTTAAAGCACTTTGGTCAGGTCTCCAGCCTGCACCTGGGATGTCTTGGTATATAGTAAATATATACATATCTATATATATCTATATCTATCTCTTTGTCTCTGTCTCTCTCTCTCTCTCTGTATATATATATATATATATATACATATATATATATATATATATATATATATATATATATATATATATATATATATATATATATATATATATATATATATATATATATATATATATACTATCTAATAGTATATCGAAACTGTAGTTATGTAGTTATCAAGTTCCTGGTTTATTTGGGGAAGTTTTTTTTTTTGTGTCACCACGTGTAATCAAACAACTCCTCTACATCACGGGGATTTCCTTTTCTGCTTTCTGTAATTACGCACTTTACCTCACAGCCACCGTGGAAAAGCACGGGGAATGCCAGCATGGTTTCGCTTTCTCACTGCCCCTTTAATAATACTATCATTATCTTCATTTCGAGCAATGTAATTGTGATTAAAAAGCTTAAATTTCAAACATCGCTGAATTAAATAAGTCTATTAATAAAAACATTTACTGTCCCACAACTCACCGATTCAAAGTAATAAATAGCTTATTGCAAATCTAATTAATTATCTAATTAATCTTAATTAACTAATATTGTTTATTCCATTGTGTAATTTTCATTTTAAAGGCTTAACGAATAATTGCAAATAAAGACGTGCTTTTCATGCAACATGCTCATTTTTCCTGACGCAACATTTCAACATAATGTGTAAAGTAAGGTGACTATTATAAAATTAGATATAAAGCAGCAGGATCGTAAGGTTGTGACACTTCCATAGAGCAAATGTTAACGGATGATCCATAATGTCTCTCTAGATGATAGTTATTAGTGATAATTGAAGACCTCGCACGCTCACGGCTTCGACAGGTCCCGTTTCATCACCACCTCCATCACTATCACCACCGGTATTTCTCTTCCTCAATAGGTGGAGTCTGTCATCAACTCCGATATGCGCATGTTTTTTTTGTTTTTTTTTAAACATTGCTTTTAGAATCAAAATTATATCCTAAATATATTAATAAAGCCGCTATCATGAAAAATATAAATAGTGGAAAACATAAAGGGGGAGTTATTTATAAGACGTTACTTTACAAAGGGTTGTGCAAAACAATGAAAACAAATAAAAAAGAAAAATTAAATGCCGAGCAAAAATAATTCAAATATTGACAAATAAGTTGATCAAAAGCTTTTATTTGCTGAAAGGTTTTAGCCTATTTATTAAAAATACAAGCATAGATAATGAAAAAGACCTGTTTAAAAACATCAGTGGTATAAATATGTGGAAAAGTAGCTATAAAGTAGGATCTTATGTTATTCTCTACAATGACAAACTATATTTTCTAAGTTGAACTTTTTTATAAAATGATCAGGACCGGGACTATTTCCTTTATAAAGCTGGTATACCTATTTATATAAATAGATTACAATGTCCTCAATCATTGATTATTAATTAATAAAACTCCCTCACCAAGAGGAAGAACTGGTTTGTTTTGGGATTTTTCTTTTTTCAGAAACTCATTGGTTAAAGGAACATTGTTATTTTTTAAAGGAAAGAAAACGAAAGAGGAAGTGGGAGGAGCTTAACCTCTTTATAAGAAGTGTCAAACCTTTGAAAGTCAGTTGACTTTCTAAATCTGTTCAACATTTTGAGCTTCTCTCTCCGAGTCTGGACCTACCTATCAACATGATGACATCACATCTGCTGGGTCTTGCTCTGCTGATGTCAATGAGTAAGTAATGATAGTTAGTCAAGAGGTTTAATCTTTATGTTGCATCTTTAGTTGATATCCAAATGGCTGTCTGTGTAACTTCTTTTGAAAAGAAGCCATCCTGACCTGCTCTCCCTCTTGTTTGCCTCAGCAGTGTACCTCTCATCAGGCAGAGCTGTCAGTCAGGACACGGTGGAGGTCTCCTCTGTGTCAGGTCAGGACTCCACCCTGATGTGCACTGCTAAACACAAGCCTGGGGTGCAGTACGTCGCTGTGAGGTGGTACAAGGTAAAAGCAGTGTTTAGTCTGACCTGTCTTCTGTAAGATCTGTACAAAAAGTTTTCTTTTTGCAGTTAAATGCAAGCATGGCCTTTCCGAAAGCTGCAAGCCTCTGTTAGTTTCATTTATGGATTTACAGTCAGCACGCATTGCTGAAACAAATCAGCTGAATTAGCAGGATAAGGCTGCAGCAGCAGTGTGGATTATTGCAGCAGTCTGCTGTTTGTGTAGAGTTACAAGCTTTAAATAGCAGTTATAGAAGTTGATTCAGAGGATCCTGCTGAGGATAAACTACTTATTTTGATGCAGATTCTGTTTAATTTTATAATAATTAAACCTTCTGACAAACTGTCCCACATAGAAAACAATTAATTCTCACAATCAAATCTAGATAAAGAAGAATTCATAAAAAATTACAGATGGTTTGAAAAATTCAGTCCAGTTTCTAAATCTATATGTTTTATCGACAGTTCAGAACAATAACAGAACCTATAATGATCTAAAACCAGACATTTTGCAGCTAATTGGTAATAATCTAATGAAGTAATTTGAAAAACCTTGATTCCATATTCTCATCATCTACTGTAAACATTTATTCATTGTTTTCCTTTTTGGTTTTCAACAAAGAAAATAAATTTCTTGATGATTTTCTGAATCAAATCACAAACTATCCTTTTATTGCTCATATTTTTCTGAGGAAAAGTTTTAAACTTCCCTGGTTATTTATTGTTACCTTTTTTTTGTGAACATTTGTTTATTTTTTAGACTTTTTACCTTTATATGCCCAGATATTGTTCAGCATAGTCCTGAAAAAGAACAACAGAAATTCAGGTTCCAAAAGAAAAATGCATTGATGTAAAAAAAGAGTTTTCCATTACAGATGAAAATAATCTTAAAAACCAGTCTTAAAATTGTAAACCTTTTGGTTAATTTGCTACTAGTTTATTTCAGCTGTTCATGTTCTGATTTACCTTATTGCAGCTTTTATCTTCTTTTTGTATCAATCATTTATTTCTGTCATTCTTCAAAGATTAAGCTTAAGAGGTGGAAACTGTGTCTAATGAATGGCTGCAGGAAACAAAGAGCTTATAGATTCTATTTAAAGTAGTTTTTTCCCAATTTGCATGTATATCAATACACCCTTTGAGTTTAAAGGCATTTTTAAAGTCAGAAAGACTTATAAGTCAGGATTTAGTAAATAAAAAAAACAAACCGATTTAAAAAAAATGTCTGAAAATGATCAGGCCTGAAAATGAATGAATGAACAAGCAGCTGATGTCCAACTAGAACTTGAACAACAAACAGAAATCCTGCAGAAATATCATTACAGCTCAGTTTAGAGGTTACAAATCTGGGCTTTGGAGGCAAACTGTGCAACTTAAGCTATAATATTTAAAATTTTAAAGTTTAAAAATATTACTAGAACTGGTCACACTGTGTTTTCTTTTTGTAAGGTAGATGTTACTGACTTTAAGGCTGTAATACAGCAGTGTGTTTATTTCTGTACTTAGAAATCTGCTGTCAGATTCTCCTTTAGCTTTTCAAATATCTAATGATTTTTGTGCTTGTTTCACAGCTTGAGAGCTATCCGTCTCCTCAGCGCAGCGGCCTCCTGACCAGAAACCTCCCCGATGGCACAACCAAATTGTACAAAGGAGTATCCAGGCAGGTGGAGCTGCAGGATGGATCCCGTGACATCTTCCTGCCCAACGTGACGTGCCGCGATGGTGGCGTCTACCTGTGTTACCTGGCTGCACCTGTGGGAGAGCAGAACCAAGAGGGGAAAGTCCTTCTAACTCTGAGAGGTGAGAGCTTCCTCTGGGTTTTACTCCATGTTTCCAGTCATGGGCTCGCCTCAAATCTATGAGGCAGGGATTCACATTGCAATCAAACCAGCTCATTCAGAGTAGCAACATTTTAAAACATGTCATTTCCTGAAACGTTTCAGAGTTGAATCACATTGGTTTAAAAGTTTACAAGGTTACAGCTTAATGTTTGAAAGTAAACAGCAGCAACAATTTATATGCTAGTCATGTGTTGTAGGCCTAAAGAGGATAATGAGCATAAAAATCTAACTTATTTTATGCTTCTGCTGTAGAAGAACAAAAGTATTTGTCTCTGTCGGGAAAGATAATATGAAAACGTCAAACACAATATATGAGAATATCCTCTGGAGTCAATGGTTGGAAAAACAAGTTTGATGACTGTCTTTAGGATAATTCCTTATCTGAGCTTTATAAGCATTACAGCAACATATTGATTATAATATAATACTAAGATTCAACAGCAAATGATTAAAGTACTGTAGGCAATGGTGGGAAAAGGAAAGTGGAAACCATTTTTTAATACAAGCCAATTCAATTTTATTTCTTAAGCACTTGTAAAACAACTCCAGCTGATCAAAGTGCTGTACAGAAAAATAAATAAAACATAAAACAGTACAAATATAAGACTAAAACAGCTCAAACATGGGTAAAAATAATATTCATAGAACCAAAGCAATAAATAAAATGGGGTAAAAGATAAAAGGGATAAAATCATAAAATAAGCTGGTGAAGATTCGCATTCAGGTCATAATCATTCCAAAAACGTAAAAAAAAAAACAAATAAAATAAACAATCCAATGGACTTTGTTTCCAAGTTTGAAGACATTTCGCTTTTCTTCAAAATGTCAGAAATAGTGTTGAGTTCGAATTCAACTCTATTTCCGACATTTTGAATTGAAAAAGCTTCCTGGAGGGGAAGCGAAACACCTTCAAACTTTGAAACAAAGTCCCTTGGATTGTTTTCTTTAACTTTTTTGGATAAAATAAATCCCAACGTCTTCCTGGGTGTTATAAGCCAAAGCGAAAAGATGGGTTTTGGAAAGAGATTTAAAAATAGTCAGAGAAGAGACCTTAGGTCAGATGTACTGAGGCAGGTCATTCCAGAGCTTTGGAGCTTATATGAATCAACTTTTAAGATTTAATATGTGAATTGATTCAGAATAGGGGAAACAAATTTTTCCAGCCGTAAAATATCATTTGATATTGTTATTATATTTATTCTCTAATGTCTCTAAAAACTCCCTTTATGTTAGAGGTTCTAAGCATTTCTCTCTTTTCATGCAGATTGTCCTGCTGCCCCCATCAATGCTGAAGATCCTCTGTTGGCGGATACAGTCATGGTTATTTTTGCCTCTGCGCTGCTGGTTTTAGCACTTCTCATATCCTTCATAAGCTACGTAAGTGGATGAAAACAAGGATCTAACTAGTTTCGCATCGTTTAATGGTTTTTTTTTTTACCCCTTGTTCTTTATTTTGGGCACATTAATGTTAATTTCCACATTTATTCCTAAACTAACATATTTTTCTTTCTTTTTCCACCTCAATAGAGATGTTTGAAGAATACAATCAAAGAAAGAAATCAGACAATCAAGAAGGAAATCTTGCTGGATGCTCCTCTCAAACCGCTGGAAAAAAAAGACTTGATGCTGATTTACACTTTGGGGCCCAAAACGTCCACGATGAAACACGTCTGTGTCTGAGGATTGTCTGAGGAGTAAAACACCACAGTCCTGCTTACAGCTCGCCGGCACGTTTGTTAAAACAAGAGATGAGGAGGTGACAAATGGAGCAGCGATCAGAACGTCAGGATGCTGCATGCGGGTCAGACCTGTGATCGATGAAGGCGTTTGGTCTGTTTTTGCCCAGAACAGCTGGAAATGGAGCTATTCAGCATGACAGCAATGCTTGGACTCTCCACGCCTCAATCAAAAACCACACAAATACACTATCAGCTGCTTTATATGCGTTGTAGTTGGGTTAAGTCTATCTGAGTAGGAATGGAAAAGAGATAGATGCTCCTTTTTTCAAAGTATTAGTTCTCATTATGATATTTATATATTTCTAAATTGGTGCTTTTCTTTTTTGCTCCACCTTTTCATACATTTACATTTCTTCTCATATAAAACCTGAAAGTTCTAGCTGAGAGACCAAAAGGAATTATAATTATACCTGAAAATTCAGAGCAATGTTAATTTTTTCAACTTATACATTGAGGAAACATGGTTTTATTTCTCCAATAATTCATATCTACAGACAGGAAGTATACCTAAAGAAGTAAATCTTTTGAGCCAGCTCACCCCATTGGAAAGGAAGAGGTTATATAGAGATATAGGATGATATGCAGCACAGCTGATTTGTAATTAAGAGTGAAATAGTTCTTATCAGAGCTATCTGCACTTACGATACTTAATCTGATGCTAGAGGTAAAAAAAATAATTCTGATGTGCAGCATTGTTATTCAGCTGAGACTCTATGGGGATGTGCATGTCTTCTGAAGGAGTGCTAGACTAGTATTTAGAGAGTAGGCTGTCTATGTCTTGGAAAATCCTTGGATTGTTACAATATGTTCCTGACAAAGACCTACTCCTTCTGCCCTATGGAGGAACCTTTTTTTATAGGAAGAGTGTTTATCAACCATTGTGGGTTCATATTGAGGTTTCTTCCTGTTAAAAGGGAGTTTTTCCTCTCCACTGTCGCTACAAGCATGCTTAGTGTGAGGGATTGCATTTGAGTCAACTGGTTTTCCTTAGATAGAAATCTTTGAATCATTCTGACTTTATGATCTGGTTGAATTGTAAAGTTCCTTGAGATGACATGTGCTTTCAATTGCCGCTGTAGAAATAAACTGAATTGAATTAACAGGCAGGATAAAAGGAAATGACAACGTTTAGGTATGAAAAGGTGGATTTAGCAAAATGAGTCATTCTGAACAGTCTTTGTTAACTTTACTTTATTTAACATCAGGGTTTCCTCCCCCACACTGGAAAAATCAAAATATATATAAGTCATTTTTTCTTAAAATAAGTGCATTTGTTCTTGGATTGAGGAGGTAAAAGTGACATTTTGCCAATGGACCAAGGCAATTTACGTTTAAAATAAGAAAACACACATGCATTGTCTCATTTCAAGGGCATTTTATCTAATTATCTTATTTTAAGAGTAAAAATATTAATTCCATTGGCAAACCACCTCATTTTAAGGGTAAATACACTCAATTTAAGAAATTGTTACATATTTTTAGATCATATTCCCAGTGCAAAATGGCAGAAACACTACGTGATAAAGGCTGTTCATATGCTTACGATTACATTGAGTTAACTCTTCATACTAAAGCTATCACTGAGATTTCCGGAAATCAAACTCTTATTGAGTTGTTTTATGTTCTCATATGTTGTGTGTGTTTATTAAAGCATATTAAAACTGTGATCTGGTTGCACTGATATTCAGCTTTGACCTTTAATTTCTCTAGTTGGCTCATGTGTTTTGGGATTTTTTCTTACACTGGTGTGGAAGCTGTACGAATGGGGGAAAAGCATGAAACTGCGTGGGTGGAAACCAAATCTGTTTAACCTTTGTAAATGGAGAACTGAAACGTGATGACATATTGAAAACACCCACTTTGTGTATATATTTAACTCTGGGGAAAGTTGTGTTTGTTTGTCTCTAAGATCTGGGCTTTTGGTGGGATGGACACTTTTAAAGCGAATGCTCCGGTTTAACCTATCGTGATTTTAATCTGTGCAAGATAAACGATCTCCTGTAATACATCATTATGTAATAAACTAAAGCTGGAAAATGGGAACCTAAGACGTCATTTAACCAAAGCTTAAATGGAAAGCCTGTCAGAAGCCTTTATAATCTCTCCGCAAGTTACTTTGTAAAACCAGAAGTGGAAAAAGGAAGTAGGGGGAAGTCCCGTGGCAGCTAAAATTATGTTATTAAGCACACTGGCACTTTATGTTGAAATAAATGTTTAATAAAAACTACTAATTATGCGTGGGTGTGTGTGAACTCTGTACACTAGCTAATGTTTTGATAACTTAACTGGAAGATGTCAGGACTATGTGCTAACATATGATCCAAGGATTTGTACGGTTAAACAGTGAGATGAGTGCAAAATTTATTTAAATGCCCTGGAATGTTTGTGATACAGCTCATGTCATCCCAAAATAACTCAAAAGGGGAACCGTACCAACAAGAAGGCTAACCAATTCACATTGGGCTGCAGCTCTGATTAGCAGAAAAAATGCTATTTTTACTTTAAATGGGGTTTGAACCTCCTAGCAACAGTCCAGTCCCTTTTCTCTTTAATCCAAGTAAAATGCTCCTGATATCTCTGGTTTAATGGCTTAACATAGAGAATTATGACAATTATTATTACAATATTTTGTGTAGGACTCCTCTTGAGGGCCTGACTGCAGTCCTCTCCCAAAAAGTCTCAAATTGTTTTCTTTGTTTTAAAGGAAAAGTCAGGAGAGTCAGGAATAACCAATGGGTCATTATTTATTCCTAAAACGAATACGTTCACAGTGATTTAATTGATTTAGCTTTAATCAGTAAGAAAAAAGAAAAACAATATTTTTCATTGTGATCACTGAGTCCAGGAGCGGCCATTTTTACCCAAATATAGTAACACCTCCCTCCTGCCATCTTCCAGCAGTGACGTCACGGTGCGGTAAGCCTAGCGCCATTCTCCCCGCTTTTTCAATGGGAACTACTAGACACATCTGCAATCAGCAACAATTATTGAAGATTTCCAGAGGACTTCACCATTGAAATTCACCAGAGCTCTAGTGAAACAGAAAATGCCCACGTGCATGGCAGCTGGATGTTGGAATACATCGGGTAAAATGAAAAAAAAAACAACAACATTTATTTCCCCTTTCTGATTCCTGATCTTCCACGGACGGGTTCATCGATGGATCGCCAACTTGAAGAGGGAGGATTTGCCATCGAACTTCTGGCCAGAGAAAAAACACGTCATTAATCTGTTACTCTCTGCTTCGCATAGTGCACTGGTCGTCACCATCATGGATAATAGCGCGTTGTGACAAACATCAGATAGAGCACTGGGACTTAATCAACAGCCGATACCGCACCGTGACGTCACAAACCAGTAGGTGGCAGTAGTGTTCTTTGACAAACACGGATGCCTCCAGTAAAGCACATTTGAATGAAATTACTCTTAATTAAAAGAACTTAACATTTATTGAAAAGCATGTAATAATTTCATACTTAAAGTACTTTCAGAAGTTTGTATTCTGAATGTGATCAAACTTTTCCTTTAAAAGCCTGTTAAGCTCATGTTTCTGCACCTCAGAGCCGAGTCCCATGTCAGAGGATGAAGAGAGCACATCCAGCCAATCACGGTCAGAGAAACAGGACTACACTGGAAAACAGGCCGATATCCAACATCTATAAACAAGGGTGTTGATGGCAGCAGCACAGCTGATATTTCTCTCCAGGATGGAGTCACAGCCGAACCCTTCTTCAAACTTTTCTTCTGTTTTAACCCAGTGAGATTTAACACTTGTCTGTTGCCCTTTTTTCATTGTAGCCTAATAATGATGTTTTTATTTCTTATTTCATATATTATGTATTTCCGTTTTGTTGTTCTTCAGCACTTCAGTCAGCTTCTATGTTGTATTTTAATTGCTTTAAAAATAAATGTAGTCATTAACAAACTTAATTAACCAAAATCAAATCAAATTTAACAAATTTTGATAATGCAGGCTAATTAAAACGTACCAATTTTTTAGCTGTGTATATTAACAGGATGCCCAAAAGAAAGTTGGATGAATTGAAGAAAATATTTTTTTGCAGTTTTTGGTGCCACCAACTGATGAGGCGTGTGTGTCAAGAACAGCTCAGTTTTCCTATTGTGGTGAAGTTAGTTTTAAGTTGGATATTCGATACATATTTTTCGCTCCGGTAAAACCTCTTCTTCGCTCATTACTAACGGAGAAAGTAGCTTCAACAATTCAAGTGCACCCGTATTGCAGACTTTACAGTAAAAAAAAAAATGGTGAGAGAAAACAGCTACCTGTTTTTTCCTTTTTCCAAAATAAAAGTGGATTCTAGCTTTTAAATCCGAGAAGTTATCAATCTAGAGTGTTAAAGTTTGTCCTATACTGAAATTGACAACAAATATTTAGAAATTTGATGCAAAACTAAAAGGTGTATTTCATGAAACCAGTGAAGTACCATGATCCCACATGGATTTTGAGACAATCCATCACAAAACCTGGAAACTAATGAGCAAAAATGCCAAAATTTCCATAGGCCTTTAAAAATAATAATAAAAGAAATAATAAGAAATGGAAAAATGAAAGGCATACATTTTGAAGCCAATGGAGTACTATGATCCAACACTGATTTTGTTTAGGTCGATCACATTATTAGCTGTAAGCTACTGAGCAAAAATCCTAATATTTTCATTTAAAAAAAATGTATTTAAAACATTTGGGGATTTTTAATGCAAAAATAAAATGTGTAACTTTTGAAGCCAGTGGAATACTACGATTCAGTACTGATTTTGAAAGATTTTTGCACATTGTAGTGGCTTCAAAACTTACACCATTTATTTTTGCATATGAAATCTTGAATTATTGTACCGTAAATACATGTTTTAATGGAAATATTAGCATTTTTTTACTCAATGTCATCTAGGTTGTATGATTAATTGACTCAAAATCAGTGTTGGGTCATACCACTCCACTAGTCGAAAAAGTTAAGGCTTTTATTTTTGCATTTTAAGTCTCTGAATAATTTTAGAAATAATAGCACAATAGTTTCCAGGTCATGTGATCAGTCCACTGGTTTCATGAGATACACCTTTTAGTCTTGCATATCAAATTTCTAAATATTTGTTATCAATTTTAGTAGAAAAGATAATTATTAACGGCTTCTCAGCTTCAAAAGCGATGCATCTGCTTTATTTTGAAAACAGAAAGTCGATACACGCTCTAACCTTTTTCTTTGGGTGTTTTTTTTTTTTTTTACTGTAAAGTCTGTAATACGGGTGCACTTAAAGTTTTGGAGCGGCTCTCTCCGAAAAGGTTTAACCGGAGCAAATCTCTGTCGAAAGTCTGTGTCGAATATCTAACTTAAAACTAACTTCACCCTTTCGTCAACCTGAATTAAACATATGTCCAATATTTAGAACGGTCTGGTTTTGGGTCTATGGAAATTTTGAATGGATACTATATGAAGGT